GATGCCCACCCCTAAATGCAGATGCTAGACACTTAATTCAACATAGCAACTAGCAACTAGCAACTAGCAAGGGCTTTTACATTAAAGTAAAAAAAATAAATATGCAAACCCAGAAGGACGAGGCGTGGAGGACTGGAGGCGATGAGTGGCAGAAGAGGAAGAGAGGCGTCACAGTAGGCAGCTAGGCGCAACAGCAGCAAGCGACGAAAAGAGGAAGGAAAGTGAGGACTCAAGAACCCTAATTAGAACTAAGACAGTTTCTATTTTCTAATTTCTAAAGAAGTAGACTAGGAAAGTAACTTAAGTAGATTGTAGGAATGTAGGGTATTGGGTAAATTGGGATTCAGATTTGTGAATGGGTTTTGGGTAAATTGGGCTAAAAAGAAGGTGGCCAGGTGGGCGAGCCCATATGTTCAAAAGTGATAACCCAAACCCAATAATTAATATCCTATATTTCTCAACTCTCATACCCAAACTTCGGTTTTTCGGTTTAACCGAAAACCGAAATACTAAAACCGTTAACCGCATCGAATTCCGAAATTTAATAATTTATAAACCGCACACCGACCGAATAACCGATTAAACTGACACCGAAAAACCGAAATTTACGGTTCGGCCGATTTTATCGGTTCGGCCGGTATTATGCCCACCCCTAGTTGAGGGTACTCCTCTCATATTGTGGATCCATGGCCTCCCGAATAAAGCATTGTACCTCATGTCTCCTTCAATCACATAAAACTTAGCTTCCTAGATGGTCCCGGCGGTGTTATGCGATAATGTTATCTCACCCTTAGTGGTTTCACATGCCATGTTGAATCCGTTTAGAGCTCGAACTGCTGGCACGATTTGATCTTGTAGACCGAGCTGCTCCACGACCCTCGATCGGATGATATTGACCGAGCTACTTGGATCGATTAACACACGCTTAACTCGAATTTATTTACGAGTATAGATATTACCAGTGCATCGTTATGGCGCTGCACGATCCCTTACGCGTCCTCGTCATTGAAAAACAAGGTACCTTCTGGTACGTAGTCTCGAGTTCGTTTCTCCCTCGTGATGGACTCTTTGGTGCGATTCAACATCGGCTCCTGAGAGACATCGACCCCACCGATGATCATGTTAATGATGTGTTAAGGTTCTTCTTGTTCGATCTGTTTGTTAGAATCCCTATTGCTGAAATTATTCTTGGCTCGGTTGCTCAGGAATTCTTGAAGATGCCTGTTATTGAATAGTCGGGCTACTTTCTTTCTCAACTGTCGGCAATCCTCCGTTCTGTGGCCGTGCATGCTATGATATCTACATATCTAGTTAGGATCCCTTTGGGTTGGATATGATTGTAGAGGTCGAGGCCATTTAGCATCTTTGATGCGTCCGATAGCTGATACAATGGCGGCTTAATCGACGTTAAAGTTGTATTCCGATAACCTCAGTGCTTCTTTAGGCCCGATGGGCCTGTCAAAGCTGTTTTTGCTCATGAGTCCCCGGTTGCTCTGACCTCGGTCATTTCTCCTTTCATTTCTCACAGAGTTCCGCCCGAACCCGCTATTTTTTTTGTATTTATTATATAACTGATACCGATTCCTGTTCGATCTTGGTTCACGATCGATGTCTCTCTTGACTCTGTCGATGGTTCTGACGGGATATACGGACCCGGAAGGCCCCCCAAGCTAATCATCTTCGACTTTGATTTTCGATTGATATCAGTTATGTACATAGGCCCAAGTGATGGACGGATATTCCACCAAGTTCTGTTTCAACTACTGTGAAGCCAATGAGCTCCGAATATTGAGTCCTTGGGTAAAGGCTTGAACAGACCAATCATCAGCGACCGGTGGCAGGTACATCAGTTCCATTTGAAACCGGGACACGAACTCTCTGAGCATCTCGTTATCCTTCTATTTTACTTTGAAAAGGTCCGACTTCCTGGTCTCGACCTTGATGGCTCCAGCGTGTGCTTTCACGAAAGAATATGCAAGCATAGCAAATGAGTCAATAGAATTAGGTGGTAAGTTGTGATACCATATCATAGATCTCTTTGACAGGGTCTCCCCGAACTTCTTTAACAGGACAGACTCGATCTCATTATCCTTCAAGTTGTTCTCTTTGATGGCACATGTGTAAAAGGTGACGTGCTCATTTGGGTCAATCGTTCCATTATACTTAGAAATCTCGGACATGAGGAATTTCTTAGGGATTGGCTTTGGAGCCACGCTCGGAGGAAAAGGCTTTTGCACGAATTTCTTGCAATCCAGGCCTTTCAATATCGGCGGTGCTCCTGGGATTTGGTCTACCCTGGAATTTTAGGTTTTCACCTTTTTGTCATTAGCTTCGATTTTCTTCTCTCATGATTTTACTCATTTTGTCAGTTCCTCGATCATCTTTATGATCTCGGGGTTAGTCCCCGATCCATTTTCATTCGACCTCTCTACGACCGGTTCATCCCTGTGGATGACTTCCCGGGGTGGATCGGGTTTGACTCTACTCGGTGCGCGGCTTTGGTTCTGTAATTGAACTATCGTCGCCTATTGAGCCTGCAATATTTCGAAGATCACCCTTAAATTGATCCCGTCTCCACCAACGTTTTGTGTATTTTGAGCCGCCGATCGAGCTCCACCACACACGTTATTATCGAAGTCGGTAGGCAGGTTTGTGTCGATAGCCACATGTGAATTAGCGTCAATTGGGCCTGCGCCCAAAAATCCGATGGGATCAACGGGTTGTACCTCGTCACTGGGTGCTATGTTGTTATTTTCACTGTGATGACCGGACTCGTTGTCAACATGTAGGGGTGCTGATTGAGAGTTCGACAATTTGAGTTTTAACCTAAAATTAGAGACACTTCAAAGAACAACTGTAGAGTAGTGTGTGTTATGGAGATTTGTATCAAATAGCCACTATTATCCTTATCCCCACGGTGGGCGCCAAACTGTTTACCCTAAAAATCGGATAACAATTAAATTTATAAGTGGTTTTAAGGATACGTGGACTAACTTGAAACAAAATGATAAATTAGATCGCAATTGAAATAAATAATGACAAAGTAAATGCAAACCACACGAATTGAATAATATCAAACTTGGAAGGTTAGCCACCCTCGAGCCAGGTACGTTTCAATCAGTGTCAGGATACAAAAGAACAATAGCTTAAAGAGAAATAATAATAATGTATTACTTTGGGATGCGTGTTACCATATTTCCAATGAATTACCATACCCCCTTTATATAGTAGAAGAATTCTATTTTAGGTATAATTCTATAAAAGGTAATAATCCCTTGATTAGCTGATTACCGATTCCTTACTGATACGCGTCAAGATTCCCGCCGTAATATTCTACCGGTCACGGATATTTTAGTTTTTTGTTGGTCATGCTAACAATGTTTCTTCGAGCTCGATCGGGGCTAAGGTCGACTCCGGGATCACGTACTCAATGTTCTCGAAGGCAGACGTTCTAACCTCGGGTCCTAGCTCGGTGGGACTCGAGATCGATCTTGAGCCCTTGATTGTCATGTTCCGAGCCTAACCTACCATGTTGTAAGTGAGCTCGATTTCAATTGTGTACAAATACAACATACTACTAAACAGTCAATAAGAAATATACCACGATAACTAATCTCAACATAATTAATTCCAACATAACTTATTTTCAAACCAAACGACCCCTAAGGGTTTAATTTGACTTTCAAAGACAATTAGATTGTTTTTTGAAGTACCAGTAATTCATTATCAGTAATTAAATTAATTAGTATAAAACTAAATTAAATTTTTTAATGAACTAATAATAAGATTAATATATAATCTTACAATTTTAATCATTAAAACATTTAATTTGGGACATATAGACTACTTACTATGTTTTTATACGTATTGGGTATTGATTCATGCAAAAATAATATATATATTTACTGGCTATTAGTTTGAGAGCCGTTGTACCGTGCCCATTTCTCTTTGATTCATTCACCAATCCCCATCCAAACTCACGTTGGGCTTACACTATCTTGGTGGACCATTTTTCGTTATCTTAATTGAAGAAGTAAAGAGAGCTATTAACCTGTAAATGAATATGCAAGTTGTCATTCCCCTAAACTATTTCCTTATGTTATATGTTTTCAAAGGATTAATGAATACTAGTACTAATTAATTTACGTAGCACATGCTGGGGAAAATTCACGGGTCACAAAGTGCAGGTAAGATATTGATAAGAGAACGAAATAAAACAATTAAAATTCCTGGATATTGGAACTCAGCGAGGAACATGGCAACTTGTTTTCCTTACTTCACATGCTTCCTAGATCTACCCAAATATATGCTAATTCTTCGCCAGCCTAAATTCCTCACTAACACATGCACTAAATTGTTCTCTTATTATTCTTTTAATCTCCCTCCTTATACATGCAGCCTATAAAAAGCCAACCATATTATACATTCTTCATCGTCAGAGTTCAATACATTTTACGTTCAATTTCTCTAAATATCTCTTTAGTTAGCAAATATTGCAAGATGGCTAAGTCACTTGCCCTCTTTCTTGTATTCAATATCCTTTTCTTCACTGTGGTCAGTGCATGCAACACTTGCCCTAGCCCTAAACCAACACCAAAACCAACACCAAACCCTTCTCCTTCTGAAGGAAAATGTCCAACTGATGCCTTAAAATTAGGTGTTTGTGCCAATGTGCTTAACGGTTTACTAAATGTTACACTTGGAACTCCACCTGTAAAACCATGCTGCAGTCTTATTGGAAATCTTGTGGATTTAGAAGCTGCTGTTTGCCTTTGCACTGCCCTTAAGGCTAACATTTTGGGAATTAACCTTAATATCCCTATTTCCCTTAGCTTACTTCTTAATGTTTGCAGTAAGGACATTCCAAAGGGCTTCACTTGTCCCTAAATGCTCTTTTCAACTTTTTCTTTAAATTGTTTTCTGAGTATGCTTCTGGATTTCATTTGTTTGGCAATTTAAAATATTCAATTTGTTTCCTGTTACTCATGGGGTTAGGTTTATGTTTTATTTTGGATTGTTCATTGTTGGAGAGCACCGCTTGCGCTATTTGTATCATTGTTCATTTGTTTGTATGTCCTGTTGAATTAAATGTTATACTATACGTATTTCTTTGTATGAATTTTGGCGGTTCTCATTCGAGATAATATTTTTGCTTTTTTTCCCCTCTACTTATTATGTATTTTTATTCGTTTGGTCACTCATTTTTTGGTCTAAATTTGGAAGCCACACAGTACGGATAAGGTTTCTGGCTGACCCCTATATTTTATTAATGATAATGATGCACTGTGATAAATTAAAAAAAAACAAAAGAAGTAGATCCCTCCCCAACTCTTCAAAAGTAAATTTCTAAAATAAGATCATTCGTTCATAAATTTTCAGCTTCAGAATCCATCATACCCCACCTCTCCTTAAAAGTCGTTTTCTTAATTTACAATCTTTGCAAATTAATAGAATTTAACTTCTCTACTCGGACACTATAGTGAGTAATTTTTCTACACTATGAGATTAAAATAAACTACAACAAGAAGTAACTTTTTTATAATAAGCATAATCTGATAATATAGAAAAGAGAAAAAAAATTATAACAAGTTAAAATGTATTGCTCATATAAAAAGTACTACGTAGTTACATCAATAGTATTTGCGACGACCAACACGTCTCACGTCTCATTAAATTTCCAACGCTTCACCCATTATGTTGTGATTGTAGAGTATACGATCCAAATCTTTTTAATCCCTTAACCAGAGTTCTCGACTTCGAGCCCTGAGTATGAAAAAATCTTTGATAGGGAGCACTACTCTCGAATGGGGCCCTACCGTCGCGAATCTAGATATAGTCGGGCTCCAATGCGACTACCGGACACCGGGTGAAAAACCAAAAAAAAATTCAATCGTCTAAGGCCTTAATTAAGGACGAATGAAACAAGCTTTGCTGATTACTGCTAAATAGTGTGAACATTTTTAAAAAAATCCACCTTTATGGCGAGGAGCCCTGCCGATAGATTAACATCCAAAACATAAAAACTAATTACAGACATATAGAAGGGAACATGAAATATTTTCTCATCATTGTAAATCAGTAAATGGATAATAGAATTCGTATCTTATCGATCGATGTCCTCTAAATTCTGATAGCTTTCTTTTCTTTTCTTTTTTGGTAAAAGGGGAATATTATATACTAATAATATGCATCATCACATGAAATAGATTGCTATTAGGCCTATTTATCGGGCGGATTGAACGGATATTTATTCTTAACGGATTAATTTATTGGTTATCGACTATTAAATATACTAATACGCTAGTCAACCGATAAGATATCGGGCAGTTTGGTATTAGATTAACAATTATCAACGGTTTATCAATTAAAATTATACATTTCTCTAAATAAAGATAAAAAATTGGCAATTATAATACTTTATTATTAACACCTAAAATTTTGCAAAAGTCTAAAGTATACAGATCAGGGAAGCCACAAAATTACAATTCTTATTTATAGCGCATCCAAAAGACTCAAAAGCTACTGAAAATGCAAAATTAAGGTAACAAGTTGAAGTCATAAACTAGTTATGACTGAGATTGTACTCTTCGATCTTCTCACACGATTTTGTCTTAATTCCAACTGATTCTGCTCTCCAATCATAAAGTAGCATCTCTACTCTTTAAAATGCTACAAAGTAGTTATGGTAAAATGCAACAAACTAGTTAGATAAAATATATACATACGACTAAAAATATAAATATAATAATTCTTAACACGTTAACGGTTTATCCGATAAGAAAATTAAGTAATTCGTCCCTGAACCGATAAATTCATTAATTATGCAATTTTAATTCGTTCACCAACCGTTAATCCTGTAACACGATACCAATAAATCAATTTTGTAGTTTGATTATCGGGTATGCTTCAGTTTTGAACGGCCCTAGTTGCTATCAAAAGAACTAATACTACTCAGAATTACAATGAGGCTTTACAAGCCTAACAAAAAGAGAGTCCATTACTCAAATTATTATTCAACTATTTGAAGTTAATTATAACCTAGTAAAGTTATGTTTCTTTTGTTTGTAATAAACAAATCTATTAACTACTTCTATAATACTCAAAAGGTCACAGAACTAGATTTCTCAAGCTTTCGGTGGTCAAATACCTATTTACCCTTTAAATCATCAACCTATATCTTCTTAATACTTTTTTAATATGAAGTACTAACCCAAATAGCCGTCTACCCAACCGTTTATACTAAAAATAGCCGGTAGAGGTATGTATAATTTATATATAATTATGTATGATATATATATATATATATATAGGGCTAGAAAAAGTAAACAATGAATATGACCAGCTATTTGTGTAAACATCTCTTTTAATATTATGATTGTTTTTTCTTTTTACTCTATACCATGGATAATGTACATGTGTTACGCGTGTATCATGTTTCGATGAGTTATATTTTTTTAATCACATAAATATTATATTAAAAATTATGTTTGAGCTATAAAATAAGAGTTTAAGCACCTAAATTAGTGAATAAAATAATTAAGTATAATAAATTTTTTAATTATAATGATTTGTTCGAACCAATAATTTTGGTAATAACAACAACTCAAGAAATTTATTTATACAATTGATAATGAGAGAGAATAAAAAATTTAAAGGATATATTCCATGCATGTAATACAAAAAAATATAATTATGTAATATATAGTATATTTATAATATACATTATATATGCATGAAAACTAACTTTTCCTTTTTTAATTTATAAATAAAATTTATTTATTTCTATGGGTAAATTCATAATATATAGTAAGAAGAGAAAAAAAAACTATAATATTTTAGAAAGTACTAAAAAGATTAAAGTTAATAATTTAGAGAGAAATATGTATTTGGCCATCGAAAGTTAATTTGAGATAATTGAGTGTTGTAACAATAGTTAAATAATTTTTTTGTTATAAACAAAAAAAACATGACTTTACTAGATAATTTCAGATAATTGAGTGATCATTTGAGCAATGAACTCAACAAAAAGAGCTTCCCTCGCCTTCAAGTGCTTCAAGAACAATCAATGGAGGAATTGCCCATTCTACAAAATCATCATAAATTTAAGAGGAATTTACATAAAATACAACCTTTCTAACATTTATTTAAGTTTCCTACAACTGCTTTGATAAAATTACATATAATACAATTATTTTAAATTTTACAATTTTTCATATTCCTAATATCTCTCTCTTGAGATTATCTCACCAAAAATGTATTCACTACTAGAAAACTGCCTAAAACCGTCCAGAAATACCGACCGAAATCGGTGGAAAAATTGAAAAATTCGACCGATTTTCGACCGACTTTAAACCGTCAAAATTAAGTTGGTCGGTAAAAAATAGCGATTGAAGTTGGTCGCAATTTCCGACCGATTTTGGTTGGTAAATTAATTTTCACAAACGACCCAAAAAGAAAAATCTGCCGAAAAAACCGACCGAAGTCGGTCGATATTTTTCGAGCGAATTCGGTCGGTATTTTTAATTATGCAATTAGCAAAATACACCGTCTCGGACTCGAACCAGGGTCTGTACTATGACAGAATACTATTCTATCACTAGACTATTGGTACATTTTGGTTTATGACTTTCTTTTAATTTATTTGTACTCTTTCATTGCATTTTCGCTCAAAAATAACCGACCGATTTCGATTGGTTTTATTAAAATTATAAAATTATCGACGGAAGTCGGTCGGTTTTCTAAAATGACTGACTGAAATAACCGAATGAAGTTGGTCGGTTTCGTAAAAAAAAATTAAAAAATAAAATATTTTAAAAAACCGACCGACTTCGGTCGATTTTTTGACCGACGTTGGTTGGCCGCGGTCGGTTTTGGCCGAATTTTTAGTGGTGATTCTAATATATCTCTCTTAAGATTCTCTCTCATCTAAAAGTATCTATCATATTTAATTTCTCCATTAATATATTGTATATTTCTTGTACAAATTGTATGTTATATAATTAAAATATACAATAATATATTATATAATATATAAAATATATATAATATACGGTATATATATAATATATAATATACGGTATATATATAATATATAATATAAAATATACAATCACTGAACTGAAAAAAAACATAATTAATAAATATACTACACAGAGTATAATATATATCATGTATATATTAAAAAATATATAATATTATATTATAAAAGAACTTGGGGTAACATGGTTTTGCATTGACAGAGAGGTGAAGAAGAATCAGATTTGAGATTTTTGGATGGTGTATAGCATAGGAGTTCTATTAGAAATAATTTCGTAAAAATATTTAAAGCTAATAAAGGCATATTTCTTTTGGTAAGGGTATGATATGATTGATGCATAATACAAGGGATATGATTTGATTTATGCATAATACAATGATAATTAAGGCAAGTGGGTACCTATAGTGGTAATCAATATTAATAAATTGGAGAAATTTTAGGGACAAATAAGGATAAGTTTCAAAATAGGATTCCTCACTAATAGGGAATCTACCATATTTTTAGAGTGTATCTTTTATATTTTATTGTAGAATTTATAATTCTAATACAAGTTGTAGATTATGAAATATTTTATAAATTCCTAAGTAACTACTAAAATTTCACTAAATTTAAAGCTGCAACCTAACCCCCTTTTTGCCAGTTTGTCTGCTACTTGATTTTGTTCGCAAAAAGCTTTCGTATCCATTTACAATATTGAAGCGCATAGGATAGTCTGCCGACTGCCTTAAGGCTGGCAAGTGGGCCGGTCCAGGCCCGGGACCGGTCCAGAACCACGGGCCAGATGGGCCAAACGGCTAAACGGGTCAGGACTGTTTGGTCCGATTTTAGCGGGCCTGGTCCGGTCTCGTGGGCCGGTCCTATGATTGGGCCCGTC